TAGTTTCCTAAAGTGGAAGCTTAGATTGTTGATTTTAGATCCTTCTTCTTTTCTTATATATGCATTTAATGCTATAAATTTCTCTCTAAGCAATATGTTTACTACATCCCACAATTTTGATAAGTTGTATTTTCATTTTAATTTAGTTCAAAATATATTTTGACTTCTTTGAGACTTCTTCTTTGACCTATATGTTATTTAAAAGTGTGTTGTTTAATCTCCAAGTATTTGGTGATTTTCCAGTTATCTTTCTCTTATTTATTTCTAGTTTAATTTCCTTGTGGTTTGAGAGTATACTTTGTATAATTTCTATGCTTTTTCGTTTGTTAAGGTGTGTTTTATGTCCCACGATGTGTCTATCTTGGTGAATGTTCCATGTGAGCTTGAGAAGAATGTGTATTCTGCTGTTGTTGAATGAAGTATTCTATAAATTAGATCTAATTGTTTGATAGTGCTATTTAGTTCAACTATGTCCTTACTGATTTTCTGCATGCTGGATCTGTCAATTGCTGATAGAGGGGTGTTGAATTCTCCAACTATAACAGCAGATTTGTCTATTTCTCCTTATAGCTCTCTGGTTTTGCCTCATGTATTTTGGTTCTCTGTTGTTAGATACATATGCATTAAGGACTGTTACATCTTCCTGGAGAATTAATTCTTTTATCAGTATATAATGACCCTCTTTCTCTGTGATAATTTTCTTTGCTCTGAAGTCAGCTTTGTTTTGGGTTTTTTTTGAGGAAGATTAGCCCTCAGCTAACATCTGCCACTAATCGTCCTCTTTCTGCTGAGGAAGACTGGCCCTGAGCTAACATCCGTGCCCATCTTCTTTTACTTTATATGTGGGACACCTGCCACAGCATGGCCTGACAAGTGGTGCTAGGTCCACACCCGGGATCCGAACCAGCAAACCCCAGGCAGCTGAAGCAGAACGTGTGAAATTTAACCACTGCACCACTGGGCTGGCCCCTCATTTTCTTTTGATTTCTGTTAATGAAGTATATCTTTCTCCAACCTTTTACTTTTTTTTCTTTTTAACAATTTGTGATAAAATCCACATTAAATTTACCATCTTAACCATTTTTAAGTGTACAGTTTAGTAGTGTTAGGTATATCCACATTGTTGTGCAACCAATCCCAAGAACTTTTTCTATCCCTTTCCTCTTAATCTGTGTCTTTATATTTAGAGTGGGTTTCTTATAGATAATATACAGTTGAGTCTTATTTTTTTAATCTACTCTGACAGTCTCTGTCTTTTGATTTGTGTATTTAGAGTCTTGGTATTTAAAATGATTATTGATATAGTTGGATCAATATCTACCATATTTTTTACTGTTTTCTATCCATTCTCCTCAAACTTTTTTTTCTTTTTGCCTTCTACTCTTTTTCTGCCTTCTCTTGTTTCAATTAAGCATTTTATGATTCCATTTTCTCTCCTCTCTTACAACATCAATGACATTATTTTTTCTAACTTTTTGTAGTGGCTGCCCTAAAGTTTGCAGTATGCATTTACAACTAATCCAAGTCCACTTTCAAATAGCATTACACCACTTCACAGATGGAGCAAGCACCTCATAACACAGTATTTCCAATTCCTCCCTTCTCTTATAACATTGCTGTCATTCACTTCATTTACCCATGAGCTATAATCACTGAATGCATTGTTGCTATTACTATTTTCAACAAATTATTATCTGTTAGATCAATTAAGAATAAGAAGAATAAAAGATTTTAGGGGCCGGCCCCATGGCCAAGTGGTTAAGTTCGTGTGCTCCACTTTGGCAGCCCAGGGTTTCGCCAGTTTGGATCCTGGGCGTGGACATGGCACCACTCGTCAAGCCATGCTGAGGCGGCGTCCCACATGCCACAACTTGAAGGACCCACAACTGAAATATACAACTATGTACCAGGGGCTTTGGGGAGAAAAAGCCTTCATTTATTTCTCCACTAATACTCTTCCTTTCTTTACGTAGATCCAAGTTTCTGACGTATATCATTTTCCTTCTCCCTGAAGAGGGTTTTTTAACATTTCTTGCAAGGCAGCACTGTTGGTGACAAATTCCCTCGATTTCTGTTTATCTGAGGAAGTATTTCTTCATTTTTGAAGAATAACTTTGCTAGCACAGAATATTACATTGCTTTTTTTTCTTTTAATACTTTACATATTTTACTCCATTCTTTTCTTACTTGTATGGTTTCTGAAGAGAAGTCTGACGTAATTCTTATCCTTGCTCCTCCTCAAGTAAGAGGTTTTCCCCTCTGGCTTCTTTCAAGATTTTCTTTGTCTTTGATTTTTCTGCAGTTTCAATAGGATATGTCCAATTGTAGAGTTTTTGGTATTTATCCTGCTTAGTATTGTCTGAGATTCCTAGATCTGTGGTTTGGTATCTTTCATTGATTTTGGAAAATCCTCAGTCATTATTACCTCAGATATTTCTTCTGTTCCTTTCTATCTGTTTTCTCCTTCTGGTGGTGTAGCTACACATTTTGCAGTCGTCCCACAGTTCTTGGATATTCTGTTCCATACTTTTCATTCTTGTTTCTCTTTGCATTTCAGTTCTGGAGGTTACTATCATCATATGTTCAAGCTCACCGATTCTCTCCTTGGCCATGTGCAGTCTACTGATGACCCCATCAAAGGCATTCTTCATTTCTATTAGAATGTTTTTTATTTCTAGCATTTCCTTTTGATTGTTTCTTAGAGTTTCCATCTCTCTGCTTACATTACCCATCTGTTCTTGTATGTTGTCCACTTTTTCCATTATAGCCCTTAGCATACTAACCAGTTGTTTTAAATTCACAGTCTAATTCCAACATCTTTGCCATGTCTAAGTCTGGTTCTGATGCTTGCTCTGTCCAAGCTATGTTTTTTGTATTTTATCATGCCTTGTTGTTTTATGCTGAAAGCCAGACATACTGCACTATGTGAAAGGAACTGAGGTAAATAGGCCTTTAGTGTGAGGCTTTATGTTTATCTGGCTTGGAGTTAGGCTGTGTTTACTGTTTGCTGTAGCTGTAGGCGTTAGGTTTAAATTTCCTCTGATGTCCTTATTTTATCTCCTCTTTTGTCTTTGTGTTTCCCTAGAGACTTCTTAAATAACGTCCTGGATGTGCAGTTCCTTCCACTGTACTCCCCTGTTATTTTGCAGGAGCCCTCCTCACGTGGTATAAGGTGTTGGGAGAAGGGAAGCATTCTATAGTCGTATATTTAGGGGTCAGTCTTTTAGTTAACTTCTGCCCCGGGCTTTGACCTTCACAAGTGTTTCCCAGTTGTTGGATCCCCCACAACCCACACCTGGCCCCACTTAGTTGCGGCAGAAAGGCTAAAGGGCTGGACCTGGGTGTTTCCTTCCCGCATGTAAAAGGCTTCAGGGGGCTGGAGTTGGGTATTCCCCCTCCCCAGGTAAGTTAGGCTCTGGTTAAATAGTTTCTCTTAAGGACAGGCCATGTTAAGGAGAACAGAATGCTTTGGAGGTATTTTTCAAAATAGCTACTATTCCATTCCCCCTGCCAGAAGCACAAAGAGATTTTTCTTCACTCTACTGTGGGGACCTGGTAGGGCTCCTGGAGGTAAAACTCACAAAGATGTTAGGGTCCTCCCTATGACTGGGCCCCCTGAAACTTTTTAACAAGCTTGTCTACACAGAGCCTCCACAAATTTCTCAATTACAGTTTAAGTTTTCCTACCCAGGTACTGGCTCCATCAGTGGGCTTCATTTCCTCAGCTTTTCCTTTTGGTAAGTTATGATTCTTCGTATCTACCTGTCTCTCCAATTTTATAAGCAGCCATTTGCCCCATGAGTTCAATTCTCTGATGGATCTAAGAAGCGTAACTGATTTTCAATGTGTTCAGCTTTTTTCTTGTTGTGAGGATGGGAGTGTTGACTTCCAAGCCCCTGACACACTGGGCCAGAAAACCCTCATCTCTTTTTTAGGAATCAATCTATGAAGGGAGCACGAGGACTTGCAGGCAAGGAATATTTGGATGAGGGGTCTCCTTACTAAGGCTGGACCATATGCCCAGACCGAAGGCCTTCCTGGTTGGGGCATCAAAACAACACAGGCATCCCCTTTGCCAGAAAGCCTATAGGACCACCTTAAGCTGGTTAGAATTCCTCCTCTAAACCCTGTGCAGACCTCTATCATTGTACTTTTGTCAGGAATTAAGAGTGTCTCTCTCACTCTCTCTTACTGGTCATTGGGTAAAAGCCAGGTCTAACACCAGAATTGGGTCCAAGGGAGAAGCCTATGCTCGAGCAAAAATATTTCCAAAATAGTTCCCAAAGTGAAGAATGCTAAGGCACAAACTGGGGTCAGAGAACCAGGGAAAGTAAGATTCACAGTAGGCCAACAGGAGGAGGTCCAGACAACCTCCCCAGAGGGATGACAGAAAGGGTGGAGTATCTACCACCCACCTGCTGCCATCCTATATTTTAGGAGTGGGTGGGCTCCAGGACAAGGTGGACACTTGAAAAACATAATGAAATTGTCTCTCTCTGGAGCAGTCTGTGTACTCCTAGAGATCAGGGCATGTCAGACTCCTCAAAGCACAGGGCTGACACACAGTAACCTCAGTAAGTACTGAACAGATCCTTAGGAAGCCCAGAGCACAATACCGGGCAACACAAGAAGCAAGTGGTCAGCCCATAAGCTCTTATATCCATTTATTCTGGCCCTCCTCTCTATGGAGAGTCAGAGAACAGGTTTCCTTCATTTTTTATAAATATGTTGAAATTTAAATACATTTTTATTATCCTCAAATACTTATATAAAATATTCAGAGTACTTGACTTAGGCAAGTGCCCCATTAGGGGGATTCAGAGACTTCAGCACTCAGAAGATCCATCTCTTTTGGAACCAGACAATGAACAGCTGAAGCAGGACAAGTGCAGAGCCTAGCCAGGAAGCTGAAAGCCTGGGCACATCCAAGCTGCCCTACTGGGTGGCCCCAAGGGAGCAGCACCAGGCAAACGATATCACAGATGCCCTTGAAAACAGAGAGACTAATCCCATAGTAGATGTGTTTGACAGCAAGCAGACTTTAATCAAGAGTGTAAAACCAAGGTGACCCCAGCCTCTTCAGTTACATTAATTTCCCTTTTCTCCTCAGGACATAGGCAGGAAGGAAGCCTGTTTTCTAACAAGAATCCAGAAATCAGTCTCCATCCCCAAGCTGTTTTATGTAGACTGGTTCAGATGTCTCTCACTCTGGTTGGCTTGTGATCTGTGTTCAGGCATTTTCCTTCCTTGAGAACAGGAGTCCGTCTCACATGATTCGTCTGTCTTTTGAGGCACTGGGTATAAGGGAAGTCACCCTGGAATTAAGCTGCTGTTATACTAGCTGTTCGCTCTGCCTAGAACATTCTTCCCCAGATATCTGCACGGCTAGCTCCCTCACCTCCTTTATCCTTCAAATCTTTACTCAAATACTACTTCTCAACAAGGCTCTATTACAATCTGCGCCCTTGGCCAAGCCCCTAGCATCCCCAATCTCCCTTACTTTGCTCTATATTTTGTCACAGCTCTTATCAACTTCTCTGTCTTTGCTTTTTCTGTAGTTTGAATATGATATGCCTAGCTATATTGTAGAACTTATAATATGCACTGACTGCATCTTAGTATTACTAGAATGTAAGCTCCATAAGATCAGGAATTTTTGTCTGTTTTAGTCACTGACATCCCAAGCACACAGCCATGGCACATAAAAGGTACTCAACAGATGAGTGTGTGAATGAAAGGGAAACCTAGGGTCAGATCCCACCCTGTCACTTACTCCAGCTGTGTGCCTTAGGCACTTTGCTTCCCTCTCGGCCCCAGTTTCTTCATCTCTGAGACTGGGGTCTAAGCGCCCACCTCCTGGATGATGCATGTGAAGTGTCTGGCAGGGTGCTTGGCATGAGCAGACGGTTAATAAATGGCGGCCAATTGGCATGATTACTTCCCTCCTCGAACTCTTCACCTTCCATCTCTTATAAGTACCCTTTACTCAGGGGCATCACCAAGATAATTAATGTGGCAGAGCCTTCAGGTCTGGGGCTGTGCTGAGGGGGTGAGGGCATGAGGCTGTGTAAAGCTCAAAGACCTCAGAATTCTTTCTTTCCTGTGCCAGATGGACTTGCTCTAGAGGCACGGGCATCAGGCTCTCAGCAACCCCCAGCCCGCAGTTACACGGCAGCAGAGGATCTAGAACCAACCTTGGGTCCTCTGAGAAATCTGAGCCCCCCTTTGACCTACTAGGCCACATTTGCCACAGTTGATTTTCTAAGCCCTCTGACCGCCAGAGATCAAGCCTGCAATAAGGAAGGGACTCAGAGCTCACCAGGACCTCACAGATGTGTGGAGAAGATCAGGCACTACAAGCACAGGAAACTCCTCCTACTGCTTGGCACCTGTGGGATGAAAAAAGGATGCTAAGTAACGGGTTCCCCAGTCAGAGGTTAGGGCCCAGAGGGTTCATGTCCTGCCCCCACCACTCAATAGTTGTGGGTTCTTTGGTTTGCTAAGTTCTCCAAGCTTCAGTATGCTTACTGTAAAATGAAGATATTGACAGTGCCCACCTCAGGGGATTGCTATGGGGCTTAAGTGAGATATGCTTATGAAGTACCTTAGCACACTGGCTGGCACCCAACTAAATAATGATCATTAAGTCACTTTCAAAGGCCTTTAAATACCAGATGAGTCCTATCAGACCACCTTGCCGGCAGTGGCTTTGGCCAGTAGGAACCACATAAACTATGGCTGTGAGGTAGGAAGAGGGGAAACATTACCATGCCTTCAGGACTGTTCAACTCAACCAGCCAGAGAGGGGACAGCTTCCTCTAAAACCTCAAATTTTAATTTCTAATCCTCTTTAACAGTCTTCCAAATAAAACCGATTCTGCAAATTATAATCTTCAGCTGGTGGCCAGAACTCAGTGGTGTATGCATGTATCACAAATCAAGAAACAACTTATTCACGGCTTTATTCACTCAACAAATGGTTACTAGACACCCACTCTGTGCCATGCTTCTGCTGCTAGGCACCCTGCAATGGGATACAGCCTCTGATCTCAAGGAGCTCACAGGTAATAGGGGAGATGAGCACACAAACAATCCCGGTAGGACTAGCACAGTATTTCGGCAGAAACATGCTGAGACTACAATACAAGCTCAGCAGAAGGGCAAGGACCCTAGAAGGGGAGTTCGGAGAAAGATTCTCAGAAGAAAGCATTTCTGGGCTGTTTTGAAAGATGAGCAGAACACAGTGAGGAGGCAAAGGCCGCACCAGGGTCAGTGCCTGCATTACGTCTGCTCTGCAGGATCACACAGCCGGAGAGATCACTGAAAGGGCCAGACTGCACAGGGCCTTGAATACTAAGGAGCATAATGTGATCTACGTACACGTGAAAACCAAGAGTTTGGACTTTATCCTGAAGGCTGTGAGGAGCCACTGCACAATTTATAAGCAAGGTAGAACCTAGCATATTATTAATTTATTTCTTATTCATCTCTAAAAATAGAAACACGGTGTACACATGCACATAGTACAAAATTCAAAAGGTCCAAAAGGGTTTACAGTGAAAAAACTAAGTCTCCCTCCCAATCTTTCCCCTAGCCATGCAGCGACCCAACCCAGAGGCGACCCCTGCTGCCACTGTCCTGTACATCTCGCTAGAGACCCGTTAGATGACTCTCTTTGCAGAATGCAGAGAATGGCAACACAGTAAACACAGCTTCATGGCTTTTTTCATTTACCATCTTTTGAAGATTATTCCCTATTAGTACATTTTCAGATGCCACATTCTTTTTAACAACCCTGCAGTATTCCAGTGAGAGAGATTTAGATTGTTTTAGATTAGCATTGCACAAGGTACCTGCCCTCCAGCTGGCACCTTGAAAAGTAAGGGAGCTGCAGTTGGCACAGCCCTTTGCTCTCCCCTACTCCCCTTCCCTGGATGTGGGCAGGATACCTGGAGGTGATCACCACCTTGACCCTGAGGCAATAGGCTAGGGAGAGCAGGGATCACAGATTGGAAGGTAAAATGAGCTGAGCCCTGGATGATGTGGTTGAGTTGTTGCACCAAGCTGGTCAGCCTGCCTCCTGGAGTATCATTTGTGAGGAAAATTAGTCCCTATGTATTTAAAACAATGTAGTTGGTTTTACCTGTAACTGATGGCACTTCTAATTGAGAGAGAAGTTTCCTTCCCTCTTTCTTTTCCTTTTTTCATCCTGTTTTTCAGAGATTCCACCCAAAGTTAGGGAACCCAATGAGGAAAGCCAGGGGCCTAGTTGTATAACTTTATTAATCATATCTTTTACTTTTTGTACTGTGACACTTTGACTGGGACCTTGCTAACCCTGGAGGGACTGCCCCCCCAAGGTTAGCCAATTTATAAAGGTGGTGAACAACTCGCCTGTGAGTGTACCTTTCAAATGCAACCAATCCAGGCCATTCCCCAACTACCTGTTTTATCAGGTTCCACCTGCTCTAATCACCCCAGGGCCAGGTACTAGACAACAAGGACGCCACTTATACCCCAGAGCTCGCTGAAATTATTCAAAGTGCCCAATCCTAAACCTGCTTACCCTGCCTCACACGTTCCTTGCCATGGGAACCACAAGAAAGGCTCTGGCCCAGTTTCCCGAATTCCTTCTGCCTTGTGACTGACCCTGGTGCTTCCCTGTGTGGCCCCCGTGGCATGGCATGTCCCTGCCATGGGATCAGTGAGCATAACAAACTATCTTTTCAATGGCAGTTGTCTCCTCATCTGTTCGCCCTATGATAACTGAATAATAACAAACTACGTTAGAACGATAACCAGAAATTCTTTTCTCTGGATCTTCCAGAAGAGTGGCAGAGTGAGGCAAACAAACTATTTGCCCTCTTGCCCTACAGATGTCAACAATAAGTTCTTAGAAGACAGGGACCATATTTTAAATAACTTTGCCTCCTCTCCACAGCATTAGGAATAATGCCTTGCACCGAATAATGGCCCAAAATGGTCTTCAGAGAACTCACAGTTCAGGTGAGAGACAGACATGTAAACCAGCAATGACAATGTACTCTGTAAATGCTCCAGTGGAGTAGTGCACAAAATAGAATGGGACAGAGGAAGAAATAACATCTGATTTTGGTTGGGAATTGAGGAAGCTTTCACAGAGGGTTTGCAGTGAGATTCAACAGATGAATAGGACTTTGCCAGGGACCAAAAGGCAGCAAAGTATTGGGGTAGAGAGAGGGATGGGTAGAAAACATTCTAGGCACAGACATGGTGAAAGAGGAGAGCAAGGCACGTTCTGGTAACTCCTCTCTAAACCCAGGAGACAACTGTTGCCTCTCCCTGAGGCCAAGGAGGAAACCATCCTTTCTTTTTTTCATGAAATCAAAAATCTAGCCCCAGTGGCTTTGGCTAGGGCACTTAAAGATTTGTTGAATGACTATTTAGACCTTAAAAGCAATTTACCAACTGTGTTCAATATTAGTAGCTACTTATTAACACTCAGTTCAATTAATATTGTTTTAATTATTTATGATAAATGCTAATTACCAAATATTACACAAATTTTTTTATACTTGCTACTAAGCATATATCTAGATTAATCAAACTGCTGGTCAAATCTACAGACCCTCTTCCTTGGACAGAATCCCTTCTTGATCCATTTAGGAAATTTCAAAAACAAGTTTATTCTCTAGCAGTCCATAGTTGAATGTGTCCCACCATCTCCCCTTTCCTGAAGACACTCCAGGTCAATGTTGGGGTGGATGCCACATGTTTTACTTCCTACCCAGTGGCTAGGTAACCTGTGCAGCAGAATAATTTTTTGCAGTATTAATTTGGATCTGTTCTTTACATTCCATACATACTCACACATACATGATTTCAGGGAAACCTCCAGGCAGTGGGCAAGGAAAGCCAAGTCAACGTGAAGGGAAAGGCTGTTCCTTGTCTTTTGTGGAAACTCAATCCTGAGATTGGCATTAGGATGGATGCTCAAGAGGAAGAGGGGATGCAGACCAGCAGCTTGCTGGGAGGGCAGAATCTGGAAGGTTGGGGAAGGAAATGTGACTCTCTCAAGGAGGGGGCACTGCGGTCCTGCTCCCCAGGGTTTAGGAGTGACATGGTGTATGGGGCTGGATCTCTGACACCCAGCTCCCAGCCCTACCCAAGATTCTGGGGTCATAAGAAAACACCCAGGCTATCAGACTTGATGGGATTGCCAGGACTGGACAGTGGCTGTTTGAGAAGCAATCTGATGACTGGAAGGGTCTTCCCAGCATCTTGGTGCAACATAAGATTTGGTTACACCTGCATAAACTTGGGAGTTGGGGGGAACCCACCAACAAGCCAGATAGTAATGTGGGGTCTTGGTAACAGAATTAAATTTAAGGAAAAGAGAGACATGCAATATTTCTTGTAAATGTTAGTGACTCAATAACCCCCTCTTTCACATAATATCCACGAACATCCACCTGACTTCCCTGGGAAAGGCTGTCCTTGGGAACATAGGAGCATCTGGTTTCCTAACTGTTACAATGAGGATCAATGAATAACTCTAACCTGTTTTAATGAAATAATCCAAAATTCAAAAAAAGTTCTATATACAGAGAAGTTAATCACAATGTTGTTTGTAATAGCAAAAACCTGGAAACAACTCAAATATCTTAAAATAGGGATTGAGAAAATAGGTAATGGTGCAACCATATCAGAATATTATGTAGCTACTAAGAAATTCATCAAATCATACACATTAAATATATGCAGTTTTTAATCAATTATACCTCAGTAAAGCTGTCTAAAAAATTATGAAAATGTTTGTAAAATGTCAGGTGAAACACCGTATATATAGCACGTTCTCAATTACATACAAAATATGCACAGAAAAAATATATTGATTAAAACATCTTTTGGGTCTGGTAATATTGCAGACTAGAGCTCCTGAAACTTGTCCGCTGTATAACATCTAGAAATATTTTACATAATATTTTTTTTTTAAAGATTGGCACCTGAGCTGACAACTGTTGCCAATCTTTTTTTTCCTGCTTTTTTCTCCCCAAATCCCCCACCACATAGTTGTATATTTTAGTTGTGGGTCCTTCTAGTTGTGGCATGTGGGACACTGCCTCAGCATGGCCTAATGATCAGTGCCATGTCTGCACCCAGGATCCGAACTAGCGAAACCCTGGCCCACCCAAGTGGAGCATGCGCACTTAACCCACTTGGCCACGAGACTGGCCCAACATAATATTTTTAAGGCCTCACTTTTAGGTAGCTTGATAAGCCTGCAAGAAAGGAAGGAAAGGTCAATGAAAGTAGGAACTTGGTCAGAGTGGAAGAAGAGTAAGCTCTTAAAATGCTGAAAACTTTGGAATAGTCTAGAATGGTGGTTCTCAGTAGGGATGGCATTGCCCCCCGGGGGCAAGTAGGGAATAGGTGGGGGGCATTTTGGGTTACCACAATTGGAGGCCACTATTGGCATTTAACGGATGAGGGGTCAAGAATGCTAGACATCCTGAAAGGCACAGGGTAGTTCCTCACAACAAAGAATCATCCTGTGAATCTCTGGCCACTGATGTAGGTGAAACACATGCTTATTATCATTTGAGCCTAGAGGCTAACCCCTGTTTTACATGATTTTAATATACACAGAACTTTTCAGGAATTTGGCCACTGTGTAAATCAAGGAAAACTAAACTGTTTTATTTGGAAATTCGTCAAGAATTGTTCATCATTTTGGAAAAAAGCATTGCCAATGGCAATGCCATCATGGTATTCAAGTCACTGATACAACATACAGCAGTTGGCATTTTTGGTGTTTACGTCCTAGTGTTTATGACCATGGCGCATCTACATAGAGTGGGGTTAGCGCCTGATTACTTCGTGACATCTTCTAGTACAGTGGAGTCTGAGCATTTATGCACTAAAATACTGAAAATTTCACTACAAACTGCCTTTCTATTATTCCTTCTTTATATCACATTTATGGTATTGTATTGATTTGGGTTGAAATGGTGCACAATCATGTGCAATTGTCTACAAATTCCATTCCAATGGAGTAAAGGAGACATTAAAAAATATTTGTTATAAAAGGGGGCATTAAGTCTGATGGACTGAAAATCACTGTGGTACATACTCCCCACAAATTGCTCTTCTCATTTAACAATAAGACTTAGAAATTTTTGCATATGTAGCATGGATGTACCATAGTTTATTTAAATATTTACTCTTAATGAATATACAGGTTATTTCTAATTTTGTGTTGTTAGAAACAATGAATGTAATGAAATCTTCCCATATACATCTTTGTGCACATGTGCACATCTATCAGGGATAGATATTAAGAAGTGAAACTGCTAAATCAAGAGTAGATATATTTTAACTTTTAAAAGATACCATCAGATTTCTTTCTAAAAAGGCATACCAACTTACACTCCCATCAATAGTGTATAAAAATGACCCTTTCCCCACATCATTCCCAACACTTGAGTTTTTCAGTCTTTTAGTATTTGTAAATCTTTGGAGATAAAAACTGTTTTTCAATTCAAGTTGTATTTCCCTAACAGTAGTCAAGTTGAATGAACATCTTTTCAAATGTTTCTTGGCCACTCTTTTGCCTTGATTAATTGAAATTCATATCTTCTGTCCATTTTTTTCTTTGGGGCTTATTTGTAGGAGTTCTTCATATATTCTGACTATACATTATTTGTTTGTTTAATATATATGTTGGAAATTACTTTCTCCTAGTCTGTTGGTTAGCTTTTAACTCTGGTCATACAAAAGTTTAAAATTTTGATATAGTCAAATTTATCACTGTTTTCCTTTATTGCTTCGTTGTCTTTGGTCTTCTTAAAGAAAGCTTTCCCTACCTCCAGACATCATTTTAAATAGCTGCATAATATTCCATTGTATGGATGTACCATAATTTATGAAATTCTCTCTCACTATTAGAAATTTAGCTTGTTCCATCCTTTCACTAATATAAATAATGCTGTGGAAAACAACTAAGTGTTCCACTTAATATTTCTAACACATATCTTAGTGCCTAGCAAACTAAGCATAAAATGTGTTTCTTGAATAGGGGAGGGGAGAAAGGCAGGAAGGTTTTGCCCACTCAAGGCATGTTTAAAAATGCAGCTTGATGTCAACCAAATTATTGCAGAATTAGCCCTACAATTCTACTTCTCCTTTAGCCCATCTAATCAAGAATTGACTCTGCTTCTAAAATCTAGGCATGGAAGTAAAGCTTCACTTTCGCCTTCCAAAGGGTGGGACAACTACCTGAGACATCTTTAATCACATACCTGAGTCCTCCTTCTTATCCTGACTTCAGTTTTAGGGTGCCACTTTGCTTGGTGAGTCTTCAAGGTTTACTTCTTAGAAGGTGGTAAACGAGTCTGAGAAGATGAGGCAAAGGAAGGAGAGGTCTCAGACCCAGCCGGCTGGGCTGCCACAGATTCATGAGCCCTAGCTCTATTTCCAGCAGGTGGAGTTTCACATCTTGCAGGCAGGGCTTCATTTCCAGCCAGTAGGACTCCATGTCCTGCAGGTGGGGCTCCATGTCCTGTAGGTGGGGCTCCATATCCTGCAGGCGGGGCTCTGTATCCCACTGGTGGGGCTCCATATCCCGCAGGTGGGGGTCCATAGACAACAACTGGGTATGCTGCGACAGAAAAAAAATCAATTACTCATTTTTTAGAGTGGATGAGGAATCAGTGAGAAAAAAGAGGAAGATAAAAAATAACACTGAAGCAAACTGACAATAGAAGAAAATTCAGGCCGAATAATGCTAAAGCCAGATCCTTCAGCCACCAACAGCTGAAGGTTTTATCATTTCCTGTTGTGGAGGGATTCAAATTAACATGAAAACAACACTACAGTTATATCTCTACATTACTTATGGCTGTGCATCGATATATATTTTACTTAATAAAGTTTGTTTTGATTATGTAAAGAATAATACATGCTCAGTGAGGAAGATGTATTTGGAAAAGAGAGAAAAGATGAATTTTAAAAAGTCATCTATAATTCCATCATTAAAGACAAAAACCTAATATTTTAGTGTATTTTTTGTAGGATCTCTGTTAATATTTTTTAAATAATCATGATTATAACAACTGTACAATTTTTTATCTGGCTCTTTTTATTTGATCTTATAAGAAATTTCTTTATATGATTAATGTATTTCATAAATTAAAAGCTAGACAGTACTTTATCATAAGGATAGGTGCTACTTAATTCCCCTGTTGTAGGAAAGCATGTTGTTTCCAACTTTCCAATTAATATTACAATAGACATGGGTTTTATTTATTTCCTTGGCTACATTCCCAAAGTGATTTAATTGGATCAAGGTGAATGGACAACTGTCAGGTTATTTTGCTTTAATCCATATTTATGTTTAAGCTAATTAGAAAAAAACTTTAAAAGAACTGTCTTGAGGATGCTCAAAGAACTAAAGGAAGATGTGGAGAAAGTAAAAAAAACAATATAAGAATAAAATAGAATTATCAATAAAGAGATGGAAAATCCACCAACACTAAAAAGAAATTCTGGAGCTGAAAAGTACCATAACTGAAATGAAAAATTCACTAGAGGGATTCAAATTTAGATTTGAGCAGATATAAGAAAGAATCAATGAACTTGAAGACAGGACGATGGAAATTGTTGACACTAAGGAATAGAAAGAAAAAAGATTGAAGAAAAGTGTACAGAGCCTAAGGGACCAGTGGGACACCATCTAGCAGACAAACATATGCAGTGTGGAAGTTCCAGGAGGATGAGAGAGAGAGAAAAGAATAGAGAGAATATTTCAGGAAATAATGGCTGAAATTTTCCCAAATTTTATGAAAGACATGAATATAAACATCCAAGAAGCTAAACAAACACCAGGTAAGATGAACTCAAAGATATCCACACTGAGATACATTACAATCAGACTTTCAAAAGCCAAATATAAAGAGAGAATCTTGAGAGCAGCAAGAGAGAAGTGAATCATCACATACAAGGGATCCTCAATAAGATAATAAGCAAATTTCTCATCAGAAATTTTGGAGGCCAGAAAAAAAGTGTCAAACAGGCATCCTATATTCCTGGCCAAATTCCTTCAAGAGTGAGAAATTAAGACATTCCCGCATAAACAAAAGCTGAGGGAGTTCATTACCACCAGACTTGCCCTGCAAGAAAAGCTCAGGGAGGGGGCTGGCCCCGTGGCCGAGTGGTTAAGTTCGCGCGCTCCGCTGCAGGCGGCCCAGTGTTTCGTCGGTTCGAATCCTGGGCGCGGACATGGCACTGCTCGTCAGACCACGCTGAGGCAGCGTCCCACATGCCGCAACTAGAGGAACCCACAACGAAGAATATACAACTATGTACCGGGGGGCTTTGGGGAGAAAAAGGAAAAAATAAAATCTTTTAAAAAAAAAAAAAAAAAAAGAAAAGCTCAGGGAGCCCTGCAGGGTGAAAAGAAAAGACACTAGACAGTAATCTGAAGCTATATTAGGAAATAAAGATCTCAATAAAGGTAAATCATTGGGCAATTATAAAACCTAGTATTACTGTAACAATGGTTTGTAATTCCATTTTTTCTTTTCCACATAATTCATTTATATCTACATATATTTATGAGTCATAAAGAATTATTAGATTATGCTTTTTGGGCACACAATGTATAAAGATGTAATTTTGTGACATCAACTGAAAGGGGTCAAGACAGAGCTGTAAAGGTACAGAGTATTTGTATGTTATTGAAACTAAGCTAGTAAAAAATTCAAATTAGTGTTATAACTTTAGGATGTTAAATGTAACCCCCACAGTAATCACAAACTGTTCTATAGGTATAGAATATAGACAAAAGTAAATGAAAAAGAAATTTAAACTTTTCACTATAAAAAATCTAATAAACACAAAAGAGGGCAATAATGCAGGAAATGAGAGACAAAAAAGCTATAAGGCATATAGAAACCAAATAGCAAATGACACAACTAAGGCCCCATTATCAGTAATTACTTTAAATGTAAATAGATTAAACTCTCCAATCAAAAGACAGAGACTGGGGCTGGCCCAGTGGCATAACAGTTAAGTTCATGCATTCCGCTTCAGGGTTCAGCGCAGGGTTTGCCAGTTCGGATCCTGGGCGCCAATACATTTCTATTTTTTTTTCTCTTGCAGAGGAAAATTTGCCCTGAGCTAACATCTGTGCCAGTCTTCCTCTATTTTGTATATAGGTCACCACCACAGCATGGCTGCTGCGTAGTATAGGTCCACACCCAGGAACTGAACCCAGGCCGCCAAAGTGAAGTGCGCCGAACTTAACCACTAGGCCGTGGAGCCAGCCCCCATCCCTTTCTATAATTTTGCCATTTCTAGAATGTTGTATAAATGGAATCATGCAGTATCTAAGCTTTGGGGACAGGCTTTTTTCACTCAGCATAATTCTCTTGAGACTGTGTATCAATAATTTGTTCCTTTTTATTGTTGAGTAGTGTTTCATGGTATAGATGTACCACTATATGTGTAAGCATTCAGCAGTTTAAGGCTATCTGTGTTTCTGCTATCTAGGTTTTGGTTGTTTTGAGTAAAGTTGCTATAAACATTTGTGTACAGGTTTTTGTGTGAACATAAGTTTTCATTTCTCACACTCATTAGGATGGCTACTATCACAAAAAAAAAAACCCAGAAAACAAGTCTTGACAAGAATGTAGAGAAACTGGAACACTTGTGCACTGTTCACAGGAATCTAAAATGGTACAGCCACTGTGGAAAACAGTATGGAGTTTCCTCAAAAAAATAAAAAATAGAACTACCATATGATCTAGCAATTCTACTTTGGGGCATATACCCAAAAGAATTGAAAGCAGGGTCTCAAAGAGCTATTTGTACTCCCAGGTTCATAGCAGCATAATTCACAATAGCTAATAGAATGAGTTAGGAAGTGATCCCTCCTCTTCAATTTTTTGGAAAAGTTTGAGAAGAAATGGTATTAGTTTTTCTTTAAACGTTTGGTAGAATTTACCAGTGAAACCATTAGGTCCAGGACTTTTCTTGGTTGGGAGATTTTTGATTATTGATTCAATCTCCTTACCAGGTCTATTCAGATTTTCTATTTCTTCATGATTTAGTCTTAGTAGGTTTTGTGTTTCTAGGAATTCGTTCACTGCATCTAGGTTATCCAATTTGTTGATGTATAGTTGTTCATAGTACTCTATTATAATTCTTTCTATTTCTGTAGAATCAATAGTAATGTCTCCACTTTCATTTATGATTTTAATAATTTGAGTTTTCTCTCTTTTTCTCTTGGTCAGTTTAGCTAAAGGTTTGTCAATTTTGTGGATCTTTTTAAAGTACCAACTTTTGGTTTCACTGATTTTCCTCTATGCTCTATTTCATTTATCACTTCTGTAGTCTGTATTATTTCCTTCCTTCTGATAGCTTTGCGTTTAGTCTGTACTTCTTTTGATAGTTCCTTAAGTTAAGTTAGGTTGTTGATTTGACATGTTTCTTGTTTTTTAACGTAGGCATTTATAGCTACTTTATAAATTTATAAATTTCCCCCTTAGCACCACTTTTGCTGTGTCCTGTAGGTTTTGGTATGTTGTGTTTTCATTTTCAGTCTCTAAGTATTTTCTACTTTCCCTTGTAATTTCTTCCTGATCCATTGGTTCTTTAAGAGTGTGTTATTTAATTTTCAGCACAGATTAGTGGTTGCCATAGGTTAAAGAGGAGGAGAGTGTGGAAGGGAAGTAGGCATAGCTATAAAAAGGCAACATGAGGGATCCTTGTGGTGATGGAAATGTTCTGCAATTTGATTGTATCAATGCCAATATCCTGGCTGTGATATTGTACTATAGTTCTACAAGATATTACCAATGGGATAAACTGGGAAAAATGTATAAGGGAATCTCTCTGTATTACTTCTTAAGACTGTATGTGAATCTACAGTTATCTCAAAATAAAAAGTTTGATTTAGTAAAGCATAGTTCCAGCAATAGAGAATCCAAAAAGGAAATTAAGAAAACAATTCCATTGAATAAAATACCTAGGAATAAATGTAACCACGGAGGTGAAAGACTTGTGCACTGAAAACTACAAAACATTACTGAGAGAAATTAAAGAAGACCCAAATAATGGAAAGACTTCCCATGTTCATGGATTGGAAGACTTAATATTAAGTTAAGATAGCAATTCTCCCCAAAGTGATCCACGAATTCAATGCAATCCCTATCAAAATTCCAATGGCCTTTTTTGCAGAAATGGAAAAGCTGATTCTCAAATTCATACGGAACTGCAAGGGACCAGGGATAGCCAAAACAATATTGAAAAAGAAATACAAAATAGGAAGACTCACACTTTACTATTTCAAAACTTGCTACAAAACTATAGTAATCAAAACAGCGTTGTAGTGGCATAAGGTAGATTTATATACTAATGGAATAGATTTGAGAGTCCAGGAATAAACCTAAACATCTATGACCAATTTATTTGCAACAAGAATGCCAAGACCATTCAGTGGGGAAAGAATAGTCTCTTCAGCAAATGATGCTGAGACAACTGGGTAACCACATGCAAAAGAATGAAGTTGGAATGTAACCTCACTCCATATACAAAAATTAGCTCATAATGAATCAACAACCTAAATATAACGGCCCAAATTATAAAACTCTTAGGTGAAAAAACAATAGGGGCATATTTTCATGACATTGGACTTGGCAATGGATTCTTAAATTTGACACCAAAAGCACAAGTAACAAGAGAAAAAACAGTTAAATTCGATAAAAATTATAAACTGTGCAGCAGAGGACATTATCAAAAATGTGAAAGACAACATACAGAATGGGAAAACATATTTGTAAATCCCATATCTGATAGGAGTTTAATATCCAGAATATATAAAGAACTCTTACAACTCGACAACAAAAAGATAAACTACCCAAGTAAAAAATGAGCAAAGGACTTCAATAGATACATCACCAACGAAGACATACAAATGGCCAGCAAGCACATGAAAAGATGTTCAACATCACTGGTCATTAAGGAAATGCAAATTAAAACCACAGCGAGAGACCACCTCACACACATTAGGATGGCTTTAATATAAACAAAAACAACAACAAAAAAACGAAAATAAGTGTTGGCAAGGATGTGGAGAAATAGGAACTTGTACACTGCTGGTGGGAATGTTAAATAGTGCAGTTGCTGTGGAAAACAGCTTAGTGGTTCCTCAAAAAGTTAAACATTGAATTACTATGCAATCCAGTAATTCCAATCCTAGGTATGTACTCAAGAGGAGTGAAAACACATGTCCACACAGAAAGCTATATACAAATGTTTACATTTTATAGCAGCTATTATTCATAACAGCCAAAAGGTGGAAACAAGGCAAATGTCCATCAATGGATGAATAGATAAACAAATTTTGGTACATACATACAATAGAATATTATTCAGCCACAAAAAGAATAAAGTACTGACACATGCTACAACTTGGATGAACCTTGAAAATATTACGCTAAGTGAGATAAGCCAAACACAAAAGGTCACATGTTCTATGATTCCTTTCATGTGATATACTCAGAACAGGCAAATCAATAGAGACAAAAAGCAGATGAGAGGATACCAAGAGATGTAGGGAGGAGACAATGGGGAATGATTACTTAGTGGGTAGGGAGTGTTTTTATGGGGTGTTGAAAAAGTTTTAAAATTAGAGAGAGCTGATGGTTGCACAACATTGTGAATATACTAAAAGCACTGAATGGTACTTTTTTTTTTTTGAGGAAGATTAGCCCTGAGCTAACTGCTGCCAATCCTCCTCTTTTCACTGAGGAACACTGGCCCTGACTAACATCCGTGCCCACCTTCCTCTACTTTATATGTGGGACACCTACTACAGCATGGCGTGCCAGGCGGCGCCATGTCCACACCAGGGATCCAAACTGACGAACCCCGGGCCGCCAAAGCGGAACGGGCGAACTTTGCTGCGCCACCGGGCTGGCCCCTGAATGGTATAATTTTAAATGGTTAATTGTATGTTATATGAATTTCAACTCAATAAAAAAATGTTTTATAAAACCTTAGCAACACTTACTTTTAGATTTTGAATGTTAGATTTTAAAAATCGTTAAAAACTAAGGTAACTATTAAGGTTACAAATAAATATCCTTTCGGGGCTGGCCCCGTGGCCGAGTGGTTAAGTTCGCGCGCTCGCTGCAGGCGGCCCAGTGTTTCGTTGGTTCCAATCCTGGGCGCGGACATGGCACTGCTCATCAAACCACGCTGAGGCAGCATCCCACATGCCACAACTAGAAGGACCCACAACGAAGAATATACAACTATGTACCGGGGGGCTTTGGGGAGAAAAAGGAAAAAAATAAAATCTTGAAAAAATAAATAAATAAATAAATATCCTTTAGTTGTATACAAAACTAAAAGTTGATGGACATGCACATCATGCTCTAAGGACAAGCCAAGAAAGGGCCCACATTTTTGGGTCTGTTGGCAGTTAAGAGACCCTTTGTGGTCCACCAGTAGGCTGTAGACCACAATTGAGAATCCCTCAGCTATCATGTTCCTCCCAGGAACAGAAGTCAGCAGCTGTGGACAGGCACAACTGTTAAGGGGTACCAGGCACACAGCTCAGAGCTGCAGTCCTCAGCAAGGTTGAAGGGCACGGCACAAGCATGGTGGCTATGCTTGTGTGAAATGGGCAGGACCATACGTTTTCTGCTCAGGCTGTAAGCAGGAAACGACTGTTCCCACTAACGGGAGTTGCCCAGGTAGGCTCCATTTTTGTATGTTACAGTTAAAAGGAAGCCTGAAACCAAAGCCCGGTCACTTGTTGACTTGCCACTAGGTTTCAGTCTGGAGATAAAGTCACAGACTCAACCATTTTCCAACCCCCCAAACCTCTGCTGCTTCTTCTACAGTACAATTGGAGGCAAGCTAGCAGCGACTGGATCTTTGAGCCCATGGCATATTTTTCCACCTCCCAGGAAGAACCTCCCTGCCATACCTTACCTGGGCCAGGCATCTGTTGGGTGCCCATCATGCTTCCCTGACAGGTAACTACACTCAGTCCTGGAGCACCGAACCAGCAAGTTACACTTCCAAGTGGAACTCCGCTGGCAGCTGAGAAGACAAGTTTAGCAAAATGGGACTGTAATTCTTTTAAGTCAGATGTAGTAGCTATCAACCAAATAAATCAGAGTATTAACCATCCCCTTAGATGTGAGTCCAACAATGCTCCCAGGATACAAGATTAAAAAAATACGTACCACCCTTGTCCTGAACCATATGCTTCTTGAGGGCAGAGATTGTGTCTTATTTGCCTGTGCTTATTCAGGACCTGGCACTGACAGCAGCTGACACAGATGACCACTCAGCATTGCTTGAAACTTTCTCCTCCCTTGACTTGTGGGACAACAAACTCACTTGATTCTCCTCCTACCTCTCCATCAGCCCCTTCTCAATCTTCATTGCAGGTCACTCCTCCCTGCCCATCCCTTGAATGGAGAGGACCCTTGGAATGCCATCCATAATTCACTGAATGAGCCTATCACTCACATAGCTCCAGAGATGACCTGTGTGCTGAGAATTTCCAAATCAGTTTCTAGATACAGTTCATCTTTGGAGCTCCAAGCTGAATGTCCTCTGGCCTCTAGCATTAGCATGTACTTCACACTTAATATGGTACACAGGTTAAGAGTGGAGGCTTAAAATGACACAATATCCTTTATAGAGTATTCCTGCCAAAATGCAATGACCTGGATATAATCATGAGGAAACAGACAAACTCAAATTAAGGGACATTCTACAAAACAATAAGCCTGTATTCTTTTTAAAATGTCAATATCATGAAAGACAAAGAAAGGCTAAGTCCAGATTAAAGGATACCAAAGAAATAGGACCACGAAATTCCATGTGTGATCCAGGATTAGATCCTGGACTGGAAAAAAAAAAGTACTATTAGAATTAGGAACAGTAATGAGTCAATCATTTGAGTTTGAATATAAACTATGCATTAAATAGTATTGATTCAACATTACATTTTCTGAATTTGATAAACACACTGAGGTTAGACAAGAGAATGCCCTTGTTCATAAGAGATACACATTCAACTATTTAGGAATAAAGGAAATGCTCTTTGTGACTTACTCTCAAATAGTTCAGTGAAAATAAAAGCAAAAAATAATAAGATAAAGCAAATGTGGGAAAATGTTAATAAAGGGTGAATCTAGACGAAGGATTCATGGGAGTTCACTGCAATATTCTTGCAACTTTTCTATAAACTTGATTTTTTAAAAAATAAAAAGTTTAAAAAGAGAGAAAGAGTAGGTTTAGGATTCAAATTCCAGTTCCATCACTTGCTAACTAAATAGCCTTGGGAAATTATATAACCATCACTGACTCAGTTTCCCCAGCTATAAATTGAAGATAATGATAGTACCTACATTATAAGGTTTTCGTGAGGATTAAATATATTGACACATGTAAAGGGCTTCGAACATTGCCCAGTATATGGTAAGTATTCAATAAATATTAGCTAGTATTATTATGTCTAAAATTGAACTCATTTCCTCTCCAACTTAGACTGTCTCTTATATTCTTGACCATGGTTTATAGCATCATGATCCAGTCAGTCTTCTAAGCTAGAAACTTCACTCCATCCTTGTGTGTGTCCCCCGCACTTTGTCCACGCCTCTATTACAACACATGCCACAAGATAGGATAATGTATTTGCATATGTCTGTCTCTACTAAAGTGTGTTTGTTTAAACTAGATTGGAGTTGGGGATAGAAGGCAAGGGAGAAAGGAAAAGAGCATGCCAGACAGCAAATAGCATGAAGGCTCAGAAGTGAGAGAACAAGGCACAAAGAAGTCCTGTTGGACTGGAGTACAAAAGGTGAGAGAGTGAAGGGCATGAACTGAGGCTAGACTGAACAAAAATATATCATAAAAAAAATTATTTGTACTCAAAGTTTGAAAGAGTTTTCTGGTACTTCTATTAGATCAGGTCTGCAAGGCTTGACAGTGCCTCTTCCCTCCTCTCAAGGAAGATAGGGACTAAACCTAAGAGAATCAAAGGCAAAGCCAGCAAGGAGAGAAGACAAAGAACCATCCCAAGGGAAGAAGAGCTAAGAAAACTGGGGCTCCCTGACCTGCGAAAGAGACTACTCAACAATATATGAGACCAGCATTTATATGGACAAAAGACGATCAGGTCAAACAGTCTTTCAGACGTCTGACTGTAAACTCCCACCACACTGCAAACTCAGGGAGAGACTGAATAACCTTTGTGTTCCCAGCAGGTAGTACGGTACTCGGCACACAGTAGGTAGGCTTAGGAAATGCCTGCGGAATACATGTGCAACTACCAACTGCCTGACCACAGAGGCTAGAAAATCTTGACTGGTTAACAGTCCTGTCACAATTTGATAGGCCTCAAAACCCCACAGTGCCTAAGATCTTTATAATTATCGCTCACCAGCAGAGGCAGCTTTCATCATCAACTGGGCAAACTGGACAGCGCCTCCTTTTCTGAAGCTTAACTTAAAAGTAGCCTGTCCTTCCCAGCCACCTGGGGAAAGAAACGGCACACACATACTAAAAGGCAGGCACAGCTGGCAACAGAACTGCCACAAACAGTGAGAGACGCACTACCCAAAGAAGCATGGCAGCTTTTGCTTGACTTCCAACATGAGCCAAGTCTGAATCCCAAACCTTCTGGAAGCTTTTGAGAAAAAAAAAATTCTGAGGGGGAACACTTACCATCTGGAGCTGCCTGAATGGTTCCTTTAATGTAGTTGGCGGCAAAGACTGGCTGCTCAAGTGTCCAGTTACTCATCAGATCAAACGGCATCATAAAAGAAAGCATGGGATCGTTGACTGAGGGTAAAGTCACGAAGATCACCTAAGAGAAGAAAAAATCTTTGGAAAAGGAACACAATTTGTCCATAGATTGAGACATACAAGAGTAATAATAAGGTCAAGGCCGCTTTGGCATCCTGGCCTAATTAAGAAACATCACCCGTTTTCTTCCATAGCTCTTCAACTCGGAAAAATCTCCAGGTACAAAATGTTTTAAAATACTTTGAAAGTCAATGTTTAACCTCTCTCCATTTTAAGGAAAACACATGTAGGGTTAATCAAATCAAAGTAGAAGTAGAAATTACCCGGTATGAAGTGAGAAATAATGTTCCCCTCTTTGTACCACTAAAGAGATTGGATCCCTCTGGTTGCTGTGGGAAGGAGAGGTACACTTCCTGACATTGCTGCAAGACACTGAGGAAAAAACCGACAGACAGCACACAAATTAGATGTTATATAAAATGGTACACATAACGCCCTTAGCATAGTTCCTAGCCTGGAGGAAGCACTCAATAAATGTCAGCTGCTGCTGCTGCTGCTACTACTATGACTACTATTTTATTGAAATAGAAAGGAATTTAAATGATCATATTCTCTGACCATTCACATTTATTCTTCTCCCTCTTTACTCCACTGGGTTCTTTTCTCTCTTATCAAACCTACTTGTATTCTTAGTGTTTATTCACTAATTCTTATACTTCTTGTGCAGGAAGTATAAAGGACTGTGCTAAGGGAAATGTTTCTTTGGCTCTGGTAAAAAAGGCAAGGTACACAGAGCGCTCTAGAATCCTCTGACGTGTTCCCTCTGCCTGTCATGTTCTCCCTTCACTCTTAACCCAAAAAATTTGAACTCATCCTATTCTCACTCATAGAATCTTTTGGGGGTTTTTCGTTAGTAATTATTATACTATATATGTGTTTATTTGTTTAACGTCTTCCCTAATGATCATTAGGGACAATGTCTGCTTTCTTTGCCACTGTAGCCCCAGCAAACAGTGGGTGCTACTAAATATATATTGAAAGAATGAGTGAATGAAAACATGAATACAAATAATAACGCAAGCAATATATGACATATATAAATGACACAAAAATGTCATGGCAATTTAGTGGAAGGAGGAATTAGTTTTGGTTGAAGTAATTAGGAATGACTTTATAGAAAGGTGGAAATTTGAGCTGATTCTGAAGAGATGAATAGTGTTTCAGGAGGCAGAGGTGAGGCTAGGGAACAATCCAGATGGGGAACAAACGGCATCAACGGAGGCACGCAGTGGAAAGCAAACTACTTGGAAGAAGCCTACCTGTGTGGATTCATCAAAACAGCATGGAAGCAAGGTTAGTAAGGGAGATAAAACTGGAAAGCCATGCTGGGACCAGAATTTGGAAACGTCGTTTGATAGACAAGGAGGAACTGTGAGCTGCAGCTGTCTCAGCAGGGCAGTCACATGATCAAGAAGGTGGTGTATTTCAGAGGAACCAGTTTAAAAGTCCTGACGTGAGGTAATAAGAACTGGAAGTAGGGTGGTGGTGTGTAGATAAAAAGGGCTTTTTAAAATACAGAATGTCAGCAAAAATGGTGAAATAGGGAAGTCCAAAAGTCAGTCCAGAATTCCGGAATCTAACCAGATTTTATAGGAACCAAGGGAATGTTAAATCAAGAAAAAAATAGCTGAATCTCAATAAAAGAGCTTTGTGGGGGCTGGCCCTGTGGTCGAGTGGTTAACTTCACGTGCTCCACTGCAGGCAGCCCAGTGTTTCGTTGGTTCAAGTCCTGGGTGCGGACATGGTACTGCTCATCAAGCTATGCTGAGGCAGCGTCCCGCATGCCACAACTAGAAGGACCCACAACGAAGAATATACAACTATGTACCAGGGGGCTTCAGGGAGAAAAAGGAAAAAATAAAATCTTAAAAAAAAAAAAAAGAGCTTTGTGGTATTTTAACTTACCCTGGTACCATCCTCCACTCCCCAACTTGACAACAATCTTGAAAACAACAACTCACATTTCTAGTATAGGTACCAAGTACCAGAGGGAGCAGAACAGACCTTATTCTCAAAGAATTGTGGTTGTTTGTTTTGACCTGTTTGGTGGCTCCCTGAAAGACTAGCTCAAAGGGTGTGTGCCTAATTCAGAACTCTCCCAGGACTGAGGTGATTACCCACGGCACATCTGTCAAAAATATTTAAAGGCAATTGTATCAGTTGCTATTGTCTGGAGCAAAGGATGACATTTTGTTCAAACAATAAACAAAAAACAAAAATTAGGGAGGAAAGGCTGGGGAATGAGATGCTTTGTGGAATAAAGGCTTTGAAAAGCTCTGACATTCACAGGAATCTAAAAAGCCACATGCGTACATGCCCAGGGTTGGTTCATGCTCAGAAGAAACCAGAGAAGGCCCTAAACTTTTACCTTTGGCTGACGATGAGGCTTTGCTCAAGCAGGAAATGAAAGCTATGACAGAGCTGTGAACTCCCTGGCTGAGTGATAAAGATGTGCTCCAACACACACACACACACACACACACACACACACACAGCCCATCTGCAAAGGCTGGGAGATTTTTTTGTTGTTGTTCCAGACATGTAAGTAAATTGTCAAGTCACTAGCTGGCCACTAAGTTAACATGAAAGAGACTTCAGTGGCTGCACATGACAAAGAATATAAACTTTACAAAATTTATAGATCAGAAAAGTGACTAAACAATAAACAATAACTACAACAAGCAGCAACAACATAACCTGAGGAAGACAGTGAATCTGATTTCCAGAGTAGCCACATTATATTCAAAATGTTAAGTTTTCAACAAAAAATCATAAGGCAAAACCCAAACTTTCTCCTGTGAACAAGAGAAAAAGAAATTAATGGAAACTGTCCCTTAGGACAGACACTGGCTTAACTGGACATAGATTTTAAATGACTTTAAGTATGCTCAAGAGTTAAAGGAAACCATGTCTAAAGAACTAAAGGAAAGAATGAGAACAATGTCTCAAAGGAGAGGATATCAATAGAGAGACACAAATTATAAAAAGAAACCAAATATAAATTCTGGAGTTGAAGACTACAATAACTGAAATGAAAAATTCAATAGTGGGGAACTCGATGGCAGACTTCAGCAGGCAGAAGAAAGAACCAGTGAACTTGAAGATAGGTCAACTGAGAATAACAGTTACTACTCAAGTAACAGAAATAGAATGAATGAAGAAAATAAACAGAGTCTAACAGACCTGTGAGACACAATCCAGCATACTAACATATGCATAATGGGAGTGCCAGAAGGAGAGGAGAGGAAAAAAAGAGGCATAAAGACTATCTGAAGAAATAATAGCCAGGGCTGGCCCCATGGCCGAGTGGTTAAGCTGGCGCACTCCGCTTCAGCTGCCCTGGGTTTTGCCGGTTCAGATCCTGGGCGCGGACGTAGCACTGCTCATCAAGCACACTGAGGCAGCGTCCCACACAGCAGAGCCAGGAGGACCTACAACTAGAATATACAACTATGTATTGGGGGGCTTTGGGTAGAAGAAGGAAAAAAAAATTGGGAACAGATGTTAGCTCAGGTGCCAATCTTTAAATTAAAAAAGAAAGAAAGAATGGCCAAAAACTTGCCAAATTTAGTGAAAGACATGAATCTACACATCCAAGCTCAAAAAACTCCAAGCAGAATAAACTCAAAGAGATCCACATCAAGACACATTATAATCAAACTGTTGAAAGCCAAATACAGAGAATCCTGAAAGCAGCAAGAGAAGTGAATTGTCACGCACAAGCAAGTCTCAGTAAGATGAACAACTGACTTCTCATCAGAAACTATGGAGGTGGGAGGTAGTGGATGACATATTCAAAGTCAACCAAGAGTTCTATATCTGGAAAAACTATCCTTCAAAAATTTAGAAAAAATTAAAACACTACCAAATAAACAAAAACTGAGAGAGTTCATCACTGTAGACCTGAACTATAAGAAATTGCTAAAGAAAATCCTTCAGGTGGAATAAAGACACTAGACAATGACTCAAATCCACACAAAGAAATAAAAGAACATTGGTCAAGATAACTACATAGGTAACTATAAAATTCAGTATTAATGTATTTTTGGTTTAGAACTCCTCATTTCTTCCCATACAATTTAAAAGACAATTGTATAGGGGCAGGCCCCATGGCCTATTGATTAAGTTCAGCACACTCTGCTTCAGTAGCTTGGGTTCAGTTCCCAGGCACAGACCTACACCACTCATCAGCAGCCATGCTGTGGCAGCAACCAATATACAAAATAGAGGATGACTGGCACAGATGTTGGTTCAGGGCAAATCTTCCTCAAGCAAAAAAGAAAAGTAAAAAGAGGAAGATTGGCAATAGATGTTAGCTCAGGGAGAATCTTCCTCAGCAGAAAAAAAAAAAAGACTTCTCTAAAACAATAATTATAAATTGACAGTGATGGGTACACAATGTATAAAGATGTGATTTATGATAATAACAATATAAGGGGAGCAGAGCTATATAGGAGCAAAGTTTTTGTATACAACTGAAACTAAATTGGTATTAACTTGAACTAGCTTGTTATAAATTAAGATGTTAAATGTAATCTGCAGGGCAACCACAAAGAAAATAACTAAAACATATACAGTAAAAGAAACGAGGAGGGAATCAAGATGGTACACTAGAAAATATCTTTTTTAAAAAAATTTTTTATTGAGTTGATAGGTTACAATCTTGTGAAATTTCAGTTGTATATTATTGTCTGTCAGTCATGTTGTAGGTGCAACCCTTTACCCTTTGTGCCCACCCCCACCCCCCCTTTCCCCTGGTAGCCACTAATCTGTTCTCTTTGTCCACAGGCTTAAAGTCCTCATATGAGTGGAGTCATGCAGAGATCATCCTTCTCTATCTGGCTTATTTCACTTAACATAATTCCCTCAAGGTCCATCCATGTTGTTGCAAATGGGACGATTTTGTTCTTTTTTACAGCTGAGTAGTATTCCCTTGTATATATATACCACATCTTCTTTATCCAATCATCTGTTGATGGGCACTTAGATTACTTCCACGTCTTGGCTATTGTAAATAATGCTGCAATAAACATTGGGGTGCATAGGACTTTTGGAATTGCTGACTTCAAGCTCTCTGGAGAGATACCCAGTAGTGGAATAGCTGGATCATATGGTAGTTCTATTTTTAATTTTTTGAGGAATCTCCATACTGTTTTCCATAGTGGCTGCACCAGTTTGCATTCCCACCAGCAGTGTATGAGGGTTCCTTTTTCTCCACAACCTCTCCAACATTTGTTACCTTTTGTTTTAGTTATTTTTATCATTCTAATGGGTGTAAGGTAATATCTTAGTGTAGTTTTGATTTGCATTTCCCTGATGATCAGCGATGATGAACATCTTTCAATGTGCCTATTGGCCATCCATATATCTTC